CCTGGTGATAGCTCCGGCTCTGCCCGGCCAGGGCGCTGCTTCCAGAGACCTTTTCTTTCCCTTTTGGGCTCCGTTTCCTTCTTGAGCTTCTTAGGAAAGAAAGAGAAAGCTTGGCTAAGCTTCTGAGGTTTGTCTCAGAAGCCCTTCGTACAAATGGCTACTCAGAGAGTTCATTAGCTACTCAGTGGCCTAGGTAGGGGACACTGATGAAGGCTGCTTTCTGGAAAGACACTGGTGTTCTAGGAGGAGAGCTTTTCTTTGTATTCAGGTAGGCTGTGCGAGCCTTCAGGCATTTAGATGAGGCCAGAGGAACCGGGAGGGAGCCTGTCCAGATCTGCTGAGCCGAGGGTTGCGGACAAGGAGGTGAAATGGGCCCTGATGGCTGAGCAGAGCCTGGGTCTGGAAAGCTTTTTGTCAGCAGAGGCATCGTCAGTACTTGGATGGGGGCAAATTGGGGGATCAGTGATGTAGACGTGGGATGAAGTGAACTTTCTGGAAAGTGCCCTGCGGTGCCCTTCCATGCCTGCTTCATGATGAGCTGGTGACAACATCCCCGCAGGATGGATCGTCTAATCGAGGTGAGTGACTGGCAGACTCAGGGCTGCCCTCCTGATAGAGCTGCTTGGGAAGACCCCACCTCTTCCGTTGTCTAACAGCCTTGTCTAACCTCTGACTGCAGGCCTTGGCAGTGTTTGTAAACGAGCTCTTCCCAGCGGACATGGACTTTTCCAGCCCCTTTCCTTTCCTGGCTCCAATTAAACACACCTAGTTTCTTGTCTAACTGGAAGTGCGGGGTCAGAACCAGTGTTGCCTTAAGTTACAATAGATCAGATTTAATTTGTGTCTTGCTACTTTAATATAAAGTAACGTGCCTGTTCAAATTCATTTCTTTCAGAATGTCTCTTCCTGAAATATACAGCCATAGTTGCTATGCCTGTATTCCTGTTTTGTGACCTTTGTCAGTTTCTTTGCACTTACAGTCTGCCCTCCAGCCAAATGCCCACTCCCTTCTTTATGGCCATTTTAAGCTCTTTTACTGCTGTCATGGGTAGATTTATGCCTGATCATTTAAAGGGCCATTAAACAAAACAAGAATAGAAATGTTATTCTCTCTTCCAAGCCCTAGGGGGTGCACTCCCCCTAGCTCCCTCAGAGACTCCCAGCTGGGCATTCTGTGTCTCCACAGCACTGTCCAGGACTGTGCTCCTGGGACAATTCAACTTTAAATGAATTGAAACTGAATAGCCAGCTACGTTTCAGATGCTCAGTAGTCGTGCGTGATTAGTGGCTGCGCTACTGGCCGGCGCCGACGCGGGCCGTTGCTGTCATCGCGGAGTTCTGTGGGGTCCTGCTGCTGCGTGCTTTCATGCTGCCGTAAGACTGGTTCCCGCCCAATCTGCCGCCCCTCCCCGGCCCTCCTGCCGCCCTCCACCACTGTTCATGGTCACTTTGTGTGCCTAACGACGAAGCTGCCTTGTCTGAGATGACATTGTTGATCCATATTTCTTAAAAGTTAAATTATGTGACTAATCTTCAGAGCACTGATCGAGACAAGCCCTTTAAGTAGGCGAGCTGCTGTGATGCTCTTTAGCGTCCTGTGGTATGTGGGTTTCCAAGCCTGGCGGCGCTGCCAGGCGTGCACAGTGGGCGACCGCATGATGGCTTTTATATGGGAAGACTTGTCCACAAGGGTCTGCTCTGTTGTACTGTGGGGGGGGGGGTGTCAACCTCTTGCTGGAGAGATAACACTCATTAGACTTAATGACTCCTTTGATGCGCTTCTTGCTCATCCATTTCAGCAAGACAACCAGGAAGACTGGAAACTGAGTAGGCTGTTAAGTGAGACACACCTAAATTAAAACATAATAAATACAGCTCCAGTGCAAATAGAAATAATAGTGAGATTATCTATGCTTTTGTTTCCCTGGTTAGTTTCTTTGAGCCTGCTTCTCAACTGTGAAATGAAGCAAGTGATATATCTTTATCTAGGACATTCAGGCCAAATGCAAAAGGAATGTGTGACTTGGAAAAAGAGAGTTTCTAAATTTAAGCCAGGAGTGATAAATTCAGCTTGTTCTGAAAGTGAGAGCCAGTCACGGGTTTCAGGGTATGTGTCTCAAAGTCTGACGTGTTTAGGAAAGCCGTGTACACAGGGTGGTCCTCGGCAGCTTCGAGGGGTGCTGCTGTTTTCCAGGGTTCACCAGCTCGCTGTCGCAGTCAACAGTGCTCATTCCCAAGTGGTTTTCTCATTAGACTTGCCAAGTGAGCATCATTTTTTTTGTCCTTTCCCACACATTTTCATAGACCTCAAAAACAGAACAGGGAAGAACTGATTGGAGAGAGAAATGAAGAATTGTAAGTCTGAAAGTATAAATAGAAAAACAAGAATAGAACAAGAGTAAAGGAGGAAGTCTTTTGCCCCTTTTTTCTCAATTTAGCATTTACTTGGTACCTCAGCTGACAAAAGCTTCACTAGAGATGCTGCATGACAAAACGTGCAGTCTGTGGACAGCCTGCTGCGTGCAGTGCAGTTCCCTCCCCAGGAGCTGAGCAAATCTGGAAGCAGAAAGGCCCAGGTGGGCCCTGGTGAGAGCCTAAGGGCAGAGACTGTGGCGGTGGCGGGAAGGACTGGGAGAGTGAAGAAAAGAGGAAAACTAGCTTTCTGGGGGCTGCTGTGGATGGCTTCTTGGCTGAGGGGACTGCAAGATTTTTCTGAGTGGATTTGCTGAGCCATGGAGTTGGGCAGGGGAAGAGCTTCCCAGGCTAAGATCGAGGCCTCAGCAAAGCTTCCCCAGCAAACGCATGTGCTGCTAGTGGGTATTGTCGGTTGTTCGAGAACATAACTGCGAGCTTCCCTGGCTCTTTGGGTGCTGTGCCGAAAATCCTCCATTAATAAAATCAGTGAAGTAATGTGTCTGTGTTTAGGTATCTGTTGGAAGGAAGGCAGTTCGCTTTTTGATCAATAACAAAAATTACCTTTCACCTGTCCACGCATTCCTAGCAGAGGTTTACGCTTTGTGTGCTGGGCTCTGGCTGTCACCAGGCTTGCTGTAGCCTGCAGCTCTGCCAGCTGAGAGGGTGGGGCAGGCGCCTGAGCAGGCTGGGGCTGGGGCACTGATAGGGGCACTGATAAGCCCACGGTTGCCGGAGTGCAGGTGACAGTACTCCCTAGAGGCGCGGGGGTGTGGGGGTGTGGAGGGCAGGGCTGGCACGTGGCCTTTGTTTCTGGGTGTCTGCTGAGACTGCGCTCATCTCCTCTCCTGCCAGGACCCACCTCCCGCCCAACCGGCGTGTGCCGCAGGGCCACTGGTCTGGGCCACTGGCTTGCTTAAAGGGACACTATTGATGGGATAAGGACATAGCTGTAGCTTTAAGTAAATCTGGTTTTAGTGTTTTAT